CCCTCCCTGGATGTACAGCGTTTGAGATTGTTGACAACCTAATAACTGGATATGAAGACAAGTCCAAGGTAGGGCTAGACATGGGATGCTAATAACCACATTCACAGCAATCTCTCCCTTTAAAAGTCATGAAGTAGTTTCACTTAATGTATCTGGGGATCCTCCTAACATATCTACATACTAGGGGGTTATTAGTCCTCATTCTGGAGATGAAGAAACTGAGGACGACAAAAAAAAAAAATAAATGATATTTCAAAGTACTGCAATCAGGAAGCCTAACAGTATGAAACTGCTGCCCTGCCAGCCGCCATCTCCTCCTCTTGCAGTCGACTTGTGGTCTTCCCTGGGACGTGTTGTGGAGGCACAGTCAGAGTGCTCTCTGTGCTAGAGCACAAGGAACCTCATCATTGCTCTCTTCAAAGCCTCCTTAAGCTCCCTGTTCCTCATGCTGTAGATCAAGGGGTTCAGCACAGGGGTGACAAATGTGTAAACCACAGACACCACCTGGCCCCTGTCTGGAGAGTACCTGGAGCTGGGGCACAGGTAGATGACACTTGTGCACCCATACTGCAGGAGCACCACAGTCAGGTGGGAGGAGCAGGTGGAGAAGGCCCTGTGCCTCCCCTCTGCAGAGCGCATCTTCAGGACGGCAGCCACAATGAAGACGTAGGACAGAGTGATGAGCAGGGAGGGGATGGTGAGCACAATGACACTGACCACAAACAGGGTGACCTCATGGACGTGGGTGTCGGCACAGGCCAGCCTCATGACGGGGAGGACGTCGCAGTAGAACAGGCTGATCTCCTTGCTGCTGCAGAAGGGCAGCCGGAAGATGAGCACAGTCAGCTGCAGGGCCAAGGCGAACCCCAGCACGAGGGACCCCACGGCCAGCTGCACACACGCGCGCCAGCTCATGATGAGGGTGTAGCGCAGAGGGTGACAGATGGCCACAAAGCGGTCGTAGGCCATGACGGCCAGCAGAATGCAGTCCGCGCTACCCAGGAAGATGAAGAAGAACATCTGGGTGCCGCAGCCTGGCAGGGAGATGAGGGTGCTCTCTGTGGACAGGACGCTGGCCAGGGTCAGAGGGGCGATGGTGGAGGAGTAGAAGACCTCCAGAGCTGCCAGGTTTGCCAGGAAGAAGTACATGGGGGTGTGGAGACAGCGGTTCATCCAGATGGTGAGGAAGATGGAGAGGTTGCCACTGACGCTGACCAGGTACATCCCGAGAAAGGTCACGAAAATCAGCACCTGCACCTCGGGGAGTCGGGAGAAGGGGCGGAAGTGGAAGCGGATCATCCCAGTTTGGTTTGCTTCCTCCATGTGTCCACTGCATCGGGCCTGCGGATAGCCCAGGCGCTGCCCCTGAGGACAGATCAATGTCAACCAGATGCTTCTACTTCAAGGTCTTCATCTATAAAGACAGGACAGTATCATTCTCAAGAGCCTCCGGAGACTAAATGTGGCGGCTCCCTAGTAAGCTCTCATGAATGCTAGTAATCCTGAAAACCTCTCTTCTTCCACCTCTTCCAGACCACCTTGATGCTTCCAGCTTCCCCAGAGAAGTCTCCTTTGGGCTCTATTCTCTCTCATCTAACAAAGATGTCTGATGCTTCTTTTCCACTAGTCTTCCACCAATGCTCGCCATTTTCACGTCCTTCTGTGAGCCCTAACACATACTGTAATGTGCCCTGTCTCTAATCCTAGCTGATCATGACTGAAAAGGATCACAGAACTCTGTCCCCTGGTGCCACAGCAGAGATTGGCATGATCAACCCCAGCACCCTCCCCAAGCCCCCCGAGTCAGCCCCTCTTTCCAGTCCTCACC